ATCATTGCAGCGTCCACTGCCTGCTGGGGTAAATGGGGCAGGGAAAGCACGGGCAGTGAGAGCAAGCTGTCCTTAAAAAACAGAGACAGCTGAGAGGCGTGGCTGCAACCCAAAACAAAGTTATTGGCACAAAGCCACAGTGGCAGTTTTGTTGCCACAAGCTCTACCAGTTCCTGGGTCTGTAAGGGGTGGTAGGCTGGTAAAAGTCTTCTTCCCTCCTGCTTTCTGAGCGAAGGGAACAGAAGAAAAAGAAGGTAAGTTACTGCCCATTGCCAAAGGCAAAAAAGCCTGCGCCTCAGAGGACACGGCATTTTTTTATTTTTATTTTTATTTTATTTTTAGAGGGAGGGAGTGGGTTTGTCCTCCCACTAGCAAGAAACACAAAGGGGGTGGGAGTCACTCTGGAGCAACTTCCCCCCATAAGCCATACATTTCAAAGAAAATGCCATGCTGGCCTGAATAGGATAAACAAAGGTCCCAGAACACAAGTTGGAATTGCTGTCTGTTAGAGTAGTCAAACTGGAGTCCTTGAGTCAAACCAATAGTTGTTTTAGGAGAGAACACAGAGTTGTTGCTGCTTTCGCGGACAAAAGGAATTAAGGCTCCAAGCCCCGCTGCCTGGCTTTATTAGGAGTAGATGGGCGGGGCTGGAGTCCCTAATTAGGAAAAGCTTTCAAGAAAGATCCGAGTCAGCTGCGTGGACGCAGGGAAATACCACAGGTGTGGATTTCACAGTACCACGCAGAAGAAACGCCTAACTTACACTGCACACAACAGTATTTTGCTGTTATACAATGTTTGCATGAACTTATCCGATTGTTTCAGTACATTAATTAATTCAGCTGCCACAGTGTCCAAAATAGGCATTTAACAACTTGCCATATCTCCCAGGAACCACATGCTAATTTGATGCTATCAAAGATAAAGGATCTGTTGACACATTACATGTTTTAGATATCCTCCTTGTTTTTGTTCAAAAGTATGAAATGTTTCTCCTTCCACATACTTTGGCTTCCAGCCATCTTGGATTCTAACTCCCACAAGTCCCAGCCATCTAGACCAATATTAAGGAATCAGAGGCATGGTAGTTCAAGAAATCTGGAAGGCCATCTGTTTGTCTCCACTCCTTAGAGATAACACAACTGTAAAGTGTGAATGCGACAATATGTATCATATAAACAAAAATACATATGCCAGGAATCTAGAATTAGTTGGCTCAGCAACAGGCCTTGGCTTATCCTGGGCATACAGTTACATATCATCTTGTAAACAACACCCAAATTTCAGTTCCAGCAGTGACACTCATCTCCAGGACGAGGAGCTACTTCTTTTTCAGGGCACCGACATAAGCAAAATGTTTTTTGTTTTGTTTTTTACTGATTACAGTTTTACAAACTGACTAAATTGCTAAAGGAAAAACATCACCAGCGGTTACGAATTCCTGAAGCAACTTCATTGTGCACAACACCTGAGCTCTTAAAGAATGCTTCTCACTTCAGTGGTCAAACTGTGTTTGGACTGCAGCATTGCAGACATCAGGCATGGGAGGGCATACAGGACAAAATGCAGCTCTGTACAAATATATATATATATATTATTCCACATAGAGACTTAGCTGTCAAGAGGTGCAACTGCAGTGCTGTCTTTTTCGAGATCCCCAACTTTATATGGAAGGATTTCACCCCCACAGCTCTGCCACCTGTGCCATTCAGTTTTTACTTCTGTGACAACCAGGCTCTAGCTGAGGTACTGTTGTCAAACATATCTCTGACCCAATGAAGTATGTATGTAAGATTTCAAAAGCGGCACTTGGCTACTTTTAGAATTCCTTAGGCAAAGGAGCCACATTCACATTTTCCAAACAAAACTGAGCAAATGTTGCTCAATCTACACATATAAAATAAAGGTGAATGTAGAGCTTGTATAGCGCCATAGATTGATCATGATCTAAAATTTAGAGGCATCCATAAGGTTGTGTGAGGTATAATGTTGTTGAAGGGCATCTTCAAAATTAAAACACACGCACACCAGTGATATCTTTACGGCTGGCACAAGATAGTATGCTGCCGGTGCAACCCCTTCCATGACCAGAAACTGACCATGGATAAGTATTTTCCATCTTACCGAAGGCAGCATGCCAGGCTAGAGGTGCAGGGCAGGTTGTGCAATGCCCTCTCCCTCCTAGCATCTCCCCAACCATTGCTTTAAAATGCCTTTGGAGGGCCAAGGAAGAAAATCAAGGGGGGAAAACATGATTGTCAGCAAAAAAGAGGCTTGCTATTTGATCCATTTGCTATGAGAAATAAACACTAGTCACAAACTGCAAAAATTAAGTAATGTATGCAGTTATATTTAGAAATCTGGTCAAAGCACCTTTAGTTTTTTTGTTACCATTTGGTTTGTCCTTTAACTGAAAAGTAGCTACTGTCATGGACTATTTGTGAACCTATATACAGTGGGCCCTTGTGATTGGCCGGATTTTGCTTCCAGATCCCTCCGTGAATAGCAAAATCCATGGATGTTCAAATCCCATTATATACAATGGCATAATAAAATGGTGTTTCGTATATAAAATGGCAAAATCAAAATTCCCATTTTGGAATTTCTTTCTTTTGTGTGTGTGGAATATATTCAAGCCATGGATAGTTGAATCCATGGCTGCAGAATCCATGGATAAAGAGGGCCAACTGTATATCAAAGCATCTAGAATTTTCTATAGGTTACATTCTTTAAGTTCACTGGACATTAGCAACTGTATATGAACTGCCTGACCTATCAATTAAGAGCAAACCAAGCAGCCTGGGCCAAGTGTCCCTTCAGAGTTTCTTATTAGTTAAAGAAAGAAATGGGTCTTCCCTTGGCCCATAAAGCTTTGAATTGCAGAAGCAAAGGTTAACCTGGGAAAATGAAGGCAGAAATTCACCATGTGCATAAACATTCACCAATATGTGTGATGGGAAGAAGCGCCCACTTACATAAATTGAGAGCTTCATCATCAGCCCTTTCTCATGAAATCAGCACCAAACTAACTTTGTGAGCAAGGGATATAATGCCTAGCTCTAATGAAGTATTGTGATACCTGCAAATTGGCATGTCCACATATCTTCTTAGCAAGTTACAATTGACAAGTCATTGTTTGAGTCAACAAGTCATGTTTGTTTCAGTAGTATGATCACTCTTCACCTGGGCCTTCTCAACGTGTGCCTTTCCAGAAGATGAATTTGCTTATATCTTATAATCTTCATACAAAAATAAATCCTCAGGTTTCATTTGACCTCCAGTGGAGCTGGCAGATGAGAAGTCATCCATTTGTCCTTGAAAGTTCCTCAGTCTAGGCTCTCAAGGAGGTGGAGGTAGTTTCAAGTCCAAGAGGCTATAGGCAAAAATGTTCCAGAATATGGCAAAGAGTACAAACACCACATACATGGAAATGAAGATCCACCACAAGGACTGGTCTTGGAGTCTCTGCTCATAGTTCCTTAGGATGACCACACCAAGGGTGATTCCAACAGCCACCCCACCAAGGTGTGCAACAAAACTTGGGTGTGGGCACGGAGGATAAGCAGATGGGTAGAACCTCAACCACACAGCGCGTCCAAATTCAAAGCTCACTGGAATAGAGAAGTCACAGTGAAGTCACACACTATCTTATTTCACACCCACATTCTCATGAGGTCCAATCTGATAGCATAAAATGGCAATACATGGGGTAGCACAGTCAAAACAGCTCTATGTGTGTCTTTTCTTCCTCAACCGTGGCTGATTTAGGGCTTCCCCTTCCCTATTATATATGTGGTGAGTCCCCAGTATCCTCATCCACTCTCACTACGAAATCCATCACAATCTCTCCTTCTCTCCACACAATTTCAAACCATGAATTTTAAATTTACCATCTATTACTATTTTAGTTTAAACTTTGTACCATGTATTTTAATACATGGACTTTATAGTAATGTGTTTTAAAATATGAATTTTATTGTATGTATTGTAAGGTGTACTTAGTTTATTGGAGTTTTTAAGAAAATAGGTTTTATTGAGTGATATATAGTGCAGGCAGGTTGGTTTGAAATGTAGCGGTTGGTTTGGCTGCATTGCCATAGCGATGTAGGCCTCCAGGCAGAAGCAGAAGGCGCGGAGCTAACTGCCACTGGAGGAGAGAGCAGAGTTTGAAAAGGCAGTCTTTGGTGAGCTAGCCAAAGAAGAAAGTTGGTTCTGGTGGGTTGAGAAACCGAACTAAGGGATTTAAGTCTTTGACAGGTAATCAAAGGGAAAAGGTGGCTCTGGGTATTGTCAGCCGAGCCAAGTGTTTAGCCTTCAGCCTTCCCTGTGGGTCAAGTGGATCTATTAGTAGAAAGTAACTTGCCAGTTAAAGAAAGGAAATAACAAACTTTGAAGTGGCCGAAGATAAGCCATTCTCAAAGGTTAATAGTAACAATTTCATGTTTCTGTAAGAACTAAGAGTTAACCATGACACCAAGAAGAAGATACTGTGTAACCGTCCAGGTTGTGTGAACCTGTGTAATCTTTAAATAAATATTTTTCTGTTCAGTTCAAGTGCTAGGACTTGCGTCTAATTATTAAAGAGAAGGATCTCTACAAACGAGAAGTCGGAAGATCCTGGGGAGCTGAATACAGTTGTGTGGCATTGAGTTGCACATATTAAAGAGGCACAAACAGGTGCTTTAAAAGTCAAACTACACAGTTCTCAGCCAAGCCTCTAACCAGGTTTCTATCATAGTGGTCTCAAGTCTCTCTCAAACACATACAGATGTGACATAAAATCGCTCAGCAACGCCACACCACTCATTCAATTTCCTCACAGCCCTGCTATAAATTTGTTCATATATAGTGGTGGCAGCGCTACATGTTAATAGGGGTGTTTGCTTCATATTAATTGGTGGCAGCAGTGGGATAATACAATAAAGGTCCCCCCTGCCTGAAGATTGCTGCCTGTATTTCCTGTGTTGTCTGCTTCATAAGGTAAGGTGTTGTGCCCTGCCTTGAACTGAGAGCAGAGGTAGTTAACAAACATTTTTATTAGTAGTAATATCATCATCTCCCTTGAACAGGGTTATGAGTGAGATAAAAACATGCTAGTTGTTTCTATGGATATGCAGATATGCAGATATCTTTATGCATACTGGGAAGAGAAAGCAAGCAAGCAGCTGCTATGCTTGTGTAATCTAAAATAATCCAATATAGTGAACACATGACCACGGCTAAAATGCCATTTTGGACTGAGGTGACTTCAGGGTGGGGGAAATGTGTGGCTTTTAAGACCAATTTGAGTTTGGATTAAAATGGGTGAGTGTGGTATTAATGGGGTCAAACCAGGACAGGATATTGTATACTGAAGCTAGGATGTGGATTCAGCCTCTGACTCCATATGCTTCCACCTTCAAACTGAGAGAGACATGGGAAGTCACTTTTCTATTACTTACCTGCTTTTCCTATTCCTACAGATATAAAAGATGCTACATGCTTAGTTAGGTCTTTTTGTGTGAATCTCTTCGCTATTCATACTCTGGGCTAATGCTTTGGTTTTGGTCAAGGGAGTTAATGAATGCTGTCCTAGCCTGGACAAACCACTAGCATCTTGTGGATTTGTTAAGAATCAGTCACAAAGGGGACTATCCTGCCTATCACTTTACAGACATTTGGGTGGCTTTTCTACTGTAAAATATTTGGTTCATCCATTAGTCATCAGTGAAGCTTCACTTTGGAAACTGTTTTTGTTCAACTCTGTTTCTTGTAGTGGGTTTGCTCTAACCATGAATGAGAATATTAAGGAACTGATAATGTCGTTACATTAGGAAAGTTCAAGTGTGTGTTACACTGCCATGCTCTGCTGCCCACCTTCCATTTAAAACTAGGAAGCTAAATTGGTCCAAAATGAACAGTAGTTGTGCCCTAGGTTTGTCCTGTTTTATTCCTAGGAAAAGAAAATTGGGAGAGTCCTGACTGCCTCAAATGATATTGCAGGGATGCATTTTTCCCATTCCTGTATTTCACCCGGTCGCACAATAGGTTAAAACCTTGTGCTGGCAGGATTGCTGAACTAAAAGGTTGGCAGTTCAAATATGGAGCGGGGTGAGCTCCCATCTGTCAGCTCCAGCTTCTCATGCGGGGACATGAGAGAAGCATCCTACAGGAAGGTAAAACATCCAGGCGTCCCATGGGCAATTCTCTCATACCAGAAGCAACTTGCAGTTTCTCAAGTCGCTCCTGACATGAAAAAAAAACTTGGTGTAGAGACGCTATTTGGGACAGTCAACTCATGTTGCTCACTCATAACACTACTTCTGTCCCAGGAAAAAACAAACCTATTACTACAAGATAAGCATTGCTTCTTATTGGGTTAGGAACCAAGATAAGCAATCATTAGGATTATACTCTCTATATTTCCACTATTAATTCTACTTACAGTGGGCTACTTTATGTAAGAAAGGCATAGGAACAAAATAGATACCCAAAGGGCACTAGATCTCATCCAATCTTGGAAGCTAATCAGGGTCAGCTCTTGTTAGTAATTAGATGGGAGATGTCAACAAATCTCTGGTGCTGTAGGCTGCATTTTATAGGAAGGAACTGGAAAAACTACATCTCAGTATTCCTTGCCTGAGAAAACTTCATGAAATAAATGTGGTCACTATAAGTCAACAGATTAACCCAAACGAGGCACATATATACACACAGCAGGTACACTTACAATAGTTTCTTTTGACAGGTCATATCATGTTATATAAGACAGGCAAATACTTACTACAGATCAAGGCAACAGCCATGCGCAACAGCTTGAATTGGCACTTCATTCCAGACCAATTCTGAGAAAGCAGAGGGGAAAATGACAACAATTCATAATTTAGCTTTTGACATGCAAGTATTATTTATTTATTTATTTATTTATTTATTAAAAGTAAACTGAAAGCAGATGTGTTCCCACTAACCCCATTCCAGCCCAAGGAGACTGACACGTTTTGTGCCACCTACTGCAGCCCTTACTCTTTACTAGCCTTCAAAGTAGAGAAAAACTCAATTAAGGCTTAGCTTTCTGAAGTCAATAGATTCCTTCTCCTTGTTTAGTCAGTAGCAATGCTGACCCGAGGAGAGATGATTTAAAAAATCAACAAGATGGGAATTCCAGTTTAATCCCCTTGCTCCATGTAACCAGGACTGCATAATCAGATTGGTTTCTGAATGTCTTTTCTCTTTGCTGCAAAATGTTACTCTGATCCCCTTCCCCTGATTCATAACCATTTCCCTGATTCGTAACCCCTTGTACTAGCAGGACTGCTGACTGAAAGATTAGTGGTTCAAATCTGGGGAGTAGGGTGAGCTCCCATCTGTCAGCTCCAGCTTCCCATGCAGGGACATGAGAGAAGCCTCCCATAGGATGGTAAAACATCCGGGCATCCCCTAGCCAACGTCCTTGCAGACCAGGACTTGCAGTTTCTCAAGGTGCCCCTGACATGAAAAAAAATCTGCTAGATGAAAAATGTGTATGTGGGTAGATGACAGTACAGGCTGGCCAACAAATTAATAAATTGTTGCATATCTTCTAAACTTCTGAACATGTTGAATACTTTTACATAGCTTTTATACTCCTGTTTTCACCCCATTTCTTCAAGCTCCTGACTCATCATTATATATTTCTGAAGGCTTTCTTCCAACTATTCCACAGTACCATAGCCATGTATTCTGTTGTAAGTGGAAGGAGTGGTTTTAAAAAATCCTCTGTTAAGATAACTAGCAGAAAAGGGCAAAGAGCTTGGGCAACTTAGTATGAACAATGGTTGCGTTGTTTGGGGTAGTTTAGCTTAGGGAAAAGGGTAGAGTGAGGCACAAGACATTATTACTTAAGCAAAAAGGAATTAACATTTAAACCTAACAGATGTAGGAAAGGAACTTGGTTCAAAATTAATCATACTATAATATTTGCACACTAAGAGAATAAATAAGAGTGATTTATAGCATACGTTTTTTACCTGAGTGTTTTCTAATGTTGTGATTACATGGACAAATTTATCTGCTGACGTGACTTGGATATGAATAACATATTTATCATGTGTTTCGGTTGTATAGGTCAGCAAGAATATCTATCTGTCAGAAATCTCTGGTCCTCCAGAGTATTAAATAATACATTAAACAATGCCTTGCCCTCTGCTAGTCTCATTTTTTTATACATTTTCAATAGTGCTGTGAAATGTGATTCCAATAAGTCCAGCAGGGATTTGACAGCTGTTCTGAGTATGTTCCATAGCATTTGAACATGTTCATTACAAGTCACTAAAGCATGAAAGGCATTGTGGTATAAGGTAAAGGTAAAGGTTTCCCCTGACATTAAGTCTAGTCATGTCTGACTCTGGGGGGTGGTGCTCATCTCCATTTCTTAGCCAAGGAGCTGGCATTGTCCGTAGACGCCTCCAAGGTGGAGTGCCATTACCTTCCCGCCAAAACAGAACCTATTGATCTACTCATGTTTTCATGTTTCCGAACTGCTAGGTTTGCAGAAGCTAGAGCTAACAGTGGGAGCTCACTCCACTCAATAGATCCAAACCGCCAACCTTTCGGTCATTACTGATGTTCATTAGCTCAGTGGTTTAACCTGCTGTGCCACTGGACACTATAGTAAAGTATAGGTCACTACATTTCTGACCACTAATGACATTTCCACCCTACTCCAGTTCAGATGATAATGAAAATCATTGCTAGACATATTTGTGACCTTATGAGAAAGTGCCCAACAAAGGCTAGGGCAGAAAGATCACTATGGCTTACATTTAACTGCATGGATACACAAGACATAGCCTATAGGCTATATATACATCCCCAAGGCCTTAATATACCACTTTGGAAGCTTCTAAGGGTGGCAGCTTTGATCTAAATTGTGGTACAGTGTTTTCATCCTACCCCAATTTTCTCCAGCAATTTCAATTTTTTCATTTATCCAATTTTTTAGCATTTTTGGGCCTGATGCAGCCTACAGTGGATGGAAGAGATTAACAAAACAAGTCCCTGGCCCACTGGAAGGGTACATTGTGGAATTAATGTCGTTTGGATGCTACTCAAACTGTTACTGCTCAATGCTATGGTATCATGTGATTTGTAGTTTTGTGAGATACCAGCACTTTTCAGCAGAGAAGGCTAGAGACCTTGTAAAACTACAATTTCTGTGATTCCATTGCATTGAGTCAAAGCAGTTAAAGTGGTGTCGAACTGCATTAATTCTACAGTGAAAGATGCCTTCAAAGTTTACCCACATTTGATCTGGGGAAAGTAAAACCTCTGAGCAGGCTCGTAGCCAGGGGGGGGGGGGGGGGGGGGGGGGGGGGGGTGAGTCTGAGTGAAAGAGGGTCTACCCTAGCAAACCTTTTGTATATTACCCCAATACCCCCATGCATATGGGATATATTGAGTACGGTGATCAGATCATGATATGAATAAACATAACAGTTTAAATAATGCACCAGTAAGGCCTTCTCGTGGACCACCATGAGAATTTGGGGGGGGGGGGGGGGGGGGCTGAAGCCCCTCAAGGCCCCCCCCCCCCCCGGCTACATGCCTGCCTCTGAGTAAAAAAGAAAGCAACATGTCGAGTGCTGAAATCTATTTCTCATTTAGTTGTGATGTCATGGTTGGATATATTGGCGGAAGTGGCATCTGACATAACCAAAAAGCCAGTCGGTGACCAAAAAAATAAATGAAACATGAAAACAAATCAAAGGCTCCATTAAGTTCAGAATAATGGCAGAAAATTGTTGTTTCTCATTAATCATGGAAATGCTGCAAACACAAGAAACCGCTATATCATCAATCAGTCCCTACTCTAGATTGCTAAAATCTGGCATTTCTTCAGTTTTAGATGAGCTTCAAGCTTCTGGCCTTTTAAAAACCCAGGTGAAAATATGTTTTCATTTTCATCACAATTAATCACAGACGTGACTTCCTCATAATATTAGGACTCCCGCTATATTCCCTAAATATAGTCTTCATTCTATTACGTATTTCCTTTTTTCACTCTAGCAGACATCATGTACCCGGCAGCCTTTGAAAAACAACACAGAAGCACACGTAGCTGTTCTACTGCAGTAAGTGTCTTTAAGTGCCACAGCTGTTCTAACCATTTGAGACTCAGATCTGCTGTGTGATGGTCAGGTTTTACAAGCTCTTCGATATTGCAGAATGATGAGCAGTACAACCACCTGCTCATAAGCAAACCCTGCTGAATTCTACTAAGTATAGTCTTTCTGTTTCATCTTGAGATATACACAGAACATGTATATTTCAAATGCTGAAGATGCACTGACCACCCAAACAAAAAGCACCTAAATTCAAGAACCCTTTCATACTCCTTAGAGCTCTGTGCTACAGGTATTTTTACCTCCTTCATGCAACACCAATACATTCTTCTCTAGGAGCATAAGCAATGGGTGCTACCTTTACATTTTCCTACTCCTTTCTGGGGATGGAACAGGACAGCGGGGAAGCAGTGAATTTGCCAGACTAATGGCAGCACCAGCCCAGGGATGAGGAACACCAGTTAGATTTCCTTAGGCTTCAGTGTTGATGGCATTAATCTTCTGCTATGTTTGCAGAGTTTAGTACACAGAGAGTTTTTAAAAAAATTCAATCTCTGTTTGCTGAATATTACCAATATAGAAAGCTATGATGCAAGAGACAGCATACCAGTTGCTAAGGCTTTGAAAACACTTCCCTAGTCACCAGAAATACTCTTTTTTTCTCTTCTTTTTATTCTTCAGAAAAAAAGTATGTAAGTTAAGGTGCGGAAAATTTTAGCCAGTCAAATGTTTTGGGCTTTTTCTCCTACAATCTCTAGCCACTGTCCATGTGATAAGGTGATGGGAATTACATGAGAAAGTGTTCCCACTAGTAGCCTAAGAGGAAATACGTTGATACCAACTGTTGATGACAAATTTACTGCTCTCCACTACAACAGATAACAAGCTATACAAACTTCCATAGGTTCACCTAGAGGCCCTTCCAGACAATCTCTATATCCCAGGATCTGATCCCAGGTTTTCTGTTTATCCCAGATTATCTTGCAGTGCAAACTCATGCAAGCCAGTTCAAAGCAGAAAACCTGGGATCAAATCCTGGGATACAGGGCCCCAACACTAACCATGAAGGTTTATTTTAAAACTTGAAAGTCCCTGCAGAATAACCTCATTATATGTAACACATACAGCTTGTAAAAAAGCCATCTCTCTTATTTCTCTACTTCATAGAATCTCTTATAGCATGGTAACTCAGCTGAATCTTGCAGGAGTTAACTAACAAGAAGCTGGATTATTAAATCAGAGCTTTCCAAACTGTGTGTCACCATACCTTCGTGTGTCAGCTGCAGTGTGTAGGAGTGTTGCACAAACATAACTAGAAACCTCTGGGTCTATGTGAAATAATAAATCATATATTTATAAATGAAACATGTTTATGAGATGTTGCATACAATCTGAAGAGTTACACTGGATGACTAGAGATTTCCAGAGAGGTGCTCTCTCAAATAATAATATTAATACTCTCTCAAATAATAATATTAATATTAATAATAATAATAATAATAATTTATTTATTTATAACCCACCCTATATCCCCAAGGGGAAATAATGGGTTTCTTTATTCATTCTTTATTCATGAATAAAGAAATCTATCTTTTTCCCTGAGAGAGCACCTCTCTACGAATCTCTGAGTCCAGTGTGACTTTATGGTCAACTACTAATGGAAGTTAACCACAAAATCACAGTGGAGGACTTGGACATTGCTAGATATGTGTTTGTTCTCTTTAGAAATCACTAGGTCATCTGACAGAAGTTGACCACAGAGTCGCAGTGGAGGGCCTAGATGCTATTTTAATTATATCTACAAATGATCAAATCTACAGAAGCAAATTTGCAAAATTGCACCATTTTTCACTACATCAGAAGCTGCAGGCTGGTTTTGCAGGGCCCAGGAAAGGTTGTTGCCATATATAGGTCTGTGTGCACCAACAGAAGAGAACAGCCAGGGAGTTCATAAGAGAGAGCTGAGAAAATGCCAGTGCTGTCCCCCAGTACCTGCTGCCTGATTCAATTGCCTATTTCTGCTTAATGGTACAGCTGGCTTAGTCCACATCTAATGCTACAAACAGTAAGCTAGATCATTAATGGATACTGTCAATCTTCATTTTACATGAATACACGCGGGCTTTGTCTGTAAAGAATTCCAGAAGCAGTAAAAACAAAACAAAAAAATACCTCATGATGCTTGGTTCTCTACAGAAATAGGTAATGTTGTCAGAAAACTCTGACTGTGCTACTAAATGTTGTATTTTCTCTTCAGCATTTTCGTGCATCCTTTTTGCTTATTTCTGATTCCCTTTCCCCCATGATTTTCCATTAGGCGAAATGCCTTACTGCTCACTCTATATTTATTTTCAGGAAAATTTCACTCTACAGGCAAGGGCATTATTTATTTCTCATAGTTACTCAAAAGCACACAGGAAAGCAAAAAGAGTCCCTAGAACCCTTACTCTCATCAGTAAAAGAAAAACAGCACATAACAAAAATGAGTATTATCATGAAAATGTTGCAATGGCAAATGCAAAATATTCTCATTATGCAAGAATCCCCTTGTCACCATTAAGTAAGAATTATTCTTATTTTAATTGCCAGATCTAAATAACATGAAAACATAATTGCAACTGAGTATAAACAACCAAGAGTCTTATGACACCCGAAGGGTTAACAAATTTATTATGCTGTAATTTTTCATGGACTGCATGTCTGCCTAGACAGTACCTAGATTGGAGACTATATGAAAATACTGTGTGTGTCCATGTGGGTGTGAGGATACATTGCTTTGAGGTGGATAAATGGAGTGGGGAAAAGACAGATTTTAAATGGGCATTTGGAAATGCCAGATAATTCAACCTGCTTATATTTCCTAAATGGAGTAATGCTAAGGCATCAGTCTTTTGTGAAGTCATTCCATACTATTAGTTATTCACATAGCTATGTTTTGGCAATTTACTCTTCAAGAGTGGGAATCTGAAGATGTTGCAGAACTTCAGCTCCCAGCATTCCTAACCATTGACTATGCTGGTTAGGGCTGCTGGGATTTGCAGTCCAGCAATATCTAGAGGGATATATATTTTTACAACCCTGTCATACATGATTTGCATGGTTTAGTCTATATAAAGTATGACTGTCACCTACTGTATATAATGTATAAGTCTGTCTCTCATATAAGTCAAAGATGTTGATATGTCCCATAAAGCGGTCTGAGGCGATTCAGACCGCTTTATGGAGAATGCAAAGAAAATGGCAGTGACTGGTGGCATCTGGCCTCTTGAGGCACCAGCACCACTTCAGGGGGCTAGATGCTCCTAGGAACTGATATTTCCCGCCCAAGCATTCAAATATTGTTCCTTTTTAAAATAAAAAGTTAATGTGCAGTATTAATTCTTATCACAAAAAGGAGCCATCTCCTTTTCTGAGTAATGAAAGATGAGACCTTAGTCCATCCTGGAAAAAACTTAGAAGCGCCAAACCCCTAAACTAGTGGATCTCGACCTGGGGGTCCCCAAATGGTTTGTCCTTCAACACCAGAAATTCTAACAGCTGGTAAACTGGATGGGATTTCTAGGAGTTGTAGGCCAAAACTCCTGGGAATCCACAGGTTGAGAACCACTTCTCTAAAAGCTCCTTCAAGAAGTCGAGCTAAAGAGTCACGGACACCACTGTTTTCCCACCCAGACATTGAAAAGGGTCTTCTCAGCCTGTCCTGGGACCTAATTCTGGAGTCACACTTCTTTTCCAGAGTTTCCCAGGAAGAGGGAGTACTATACAATACTACATCTGTTGAATAGATACTCCCTGAACATATGGCACGTGTATCTTGGTAAAACCAAAATATGGAAGATCGGTGTGCAATCTTTGATCAGCAAAAGTAAAATAAAAAGTAAAATATATCACAAAATGTTTTCAGAATATTCAATCAGTTTCATTACCAAAGTTTGGGAAACTGAGGGGGTTTTTTTAGACCACAAAAGCCTGAACTGGGTAATGGGGATTCTGGCAATTCTAGTCCCAGAAAAAAAATATCCAAATGTCCAGCACTTACCATTACTATGTTTGCTAGGTGGGCGGAAACGAGCGCATACACTCCTCCAGAGGAGCCCACAACTGGTGCAGTCATATCAGCAATAGACACCGCCAAGGAACCTTGGAAAGAAAAGGCACTTTTATGACATAATCCTGCCACGTGTTAATCGGCACCTTCCTTTTTTGAATGAAATTCTGAGAAGGCATTTTGAGGTTATTGATTTACTGCAAAATAACTGCACCTTTACTTTTCAGTTGTTGGGAATGTCCATACTTCATAGTATTCAATGGGGCTTGCTTATGAGTAGACACCAAGGTGATTGTACCATTGGTATCTACCATTTATGTGTCACTAAGATAGAACATGTGTATTTGTCCAACAAAGGATAGTTTATCATTGATAACTCACAATGCATCGGCCTGCCCGATATTATAGTTAAATGGAACATCTAGGTTCAGAAGTATTAAACCTGTGAATAATGTCCACTACAGGTCAATAACAAGAACTGGGCATCTCCACCACCTTCACGCCTTGTTTGTTAACTTCCACAAAGCAATAGGTTTACAAACAAAATGCAGGATAAGTTTGTGAGATTCAGGGCCCTTCAGCATAGCCACATGACCCAGAATATCACAGCAGAAAATCCCACAATATCTGCTTTGAACTGGGTTGTCTGAGTCCACAATGCCATATATTCAATTGCCATTGCATCCATCTTGTTCCCCAAGTGAATGCCCGCCCACATCTATGGCCAGACCTGTGTGGGAGTGTAAGAAATTATGCTAATCAGGAGTATGAACAGAAGGCCTTCACTGCAAAATTTTCAGCCATTTTGAGCTTTTTATGAACATATAAGCTTTAAAGAGACCCATCTTGTTCAAACCAAGGGCCCATCTAAGCCGGTTCGCCTTCTCGAAGGTTCAACAAGACATTCCCTGTGAGAATGTGACTAAATGTGGTGTTTCACTTGTCACAAATTAATATAATTTCATTAATTGGTTGGTTAGATCTGTATCTTGCCCACACCCAGTAACATTGAAAAGCATGCACAGAGTAATGAAAGGGGCCATGTTGATTCCCGGTGCCACCACATTTTATGTGGTGTCTCTTTTCTTACTCATTGTCTAGCAATGAAAAAGGAAGAGGGGCTGACCAAGGGCAAGATGGATAGATGGTATCCTTGAAGTAACTGGCTTGACTCTGAAGGAGCTGGGGTGGCCACGGCTGACAGGGAGCTCTGGTATGGGCTGGTCCGTGAGGTCATGAAGAGTCAGAAGCGACTGAACGAATAAACAACAAAACAATGAAACTCCAAACCAGGAAGGAAGTTGAGGAAACTCTAGTGCTGATAGACCAAGAAACAATTTCATTTATCTTTTCTATTCAGCTGTTCTGATGAAACCAATTTTAAACATCCAGGTTTCAAACTGGCAACTGTAAATACTATTGCCATGCAACCAATACTCTCTTGCCAAATTCCAGTTCTCAGTAGGTACCTATGATAATTTCTTTTCCGAGCTTAATTGCAGCAGCAGACTTGCATTTTATTAGATGTTGCCTATAATCTTCCTCATTATGATCCTCCCCATTTAAAATGGGTTTGTAAAGTTAGCGTTTTTAGAAGTCAGATGGATGATGCATCAACAATAACACATCCCACAGCAGCCAGAGCATCTTTCATGCTAGAACTAATTAGGAACCCTTCTCTTCTCTCCCAAATGAATGGCAGTTGATTTAGAGATGGAATGAGATGCACATGCTGGGGGTCATCCATCAGTAGGGCCTTTGCCAAGAATATCTGCGACTGATTAGTAATATGTTCACACCAGCATTACTGTTTGGCAAAATGATAAAGATTGCCTGAAGTGATTTGGAAAAAGGAACCAAAAAGACACAAACACAACCCAATAATTGAGGACAAGGGAATATTTCTGGACAAGGTTATGTTGAGGCCGCTGCTGTTAATAATGGACTGCACAGCAGATTTATTACTAGATGGGCATTTCAGGACAACTGCATTTTTAAAATGTCCTCAAAATTTGAGAAACCAGAGTTCAAATCCCAACTCAGTCATAGAAACACACTCGGACAAATCACACCCATTCAGCCTGAGAGGAAAACAAAGGCAAATAAATCCTCTCTGAACACACCTTACCAAGGAGTTTGTGATAGATTTACCTTAGGATCACAATAAGTTGGGGAGACTTGAAAGCACACAGTAGTATGAAAGTATTTGCTTGATATGTAAAAAAAATTCACCTCATTTTCTCATCCTTGATGTGAAAGATTTATTTTTAAATCAAATTAAATCCCACCTATCTTACATCAAGGATATCTTGATAAAATAAGATACTTAGCTGGAAAAAAAACAATCAACTGGCCTGAAAGTTTTCACATTTTGATATTTTTTTGTATTTCTTTTGTACAGACACTATTTTGTGTGTTAAGATCCCAGTTTCTATGCAAATAAGTGGTTCACAAAACCCTGAAAAGAAAATATATTATACACTGTGAAATGCTTCACTTCCGTGCGCAATATTTTTTAAAGGCAAGGCTTTACCTAATACTTTCATTCATTGATCACACCTGCTCTCTTCCTTTGCTGCAAACACTTTAAAGGTGAAAGAAAATGTTTCCACTCTCATACTGTGAAATAATTGGCTGGTAACAAAGGGATGCTTTCTGCCTGTGATCTTTTCTTGCAGTGTCTTTCAACTGCTATTCAAGCTTTCTAATGAGAAAGTTATAACTCCTCTATCCCTTTTCATTTTTAGCATCTCTTTTCCACAGCCTAACTGACAAAGTTAACATGAACAAAATCAGTTGACAAGAGTCAGTATATGTAGGCTAAAGGATGATGGGGGTGGAAAATCAAGAATACAAAGTGCTAGGTAGCTGAAAATCAAATCCACATTAAGGGACACACACACGGTTGCTTTCAAACCAGAAAGAGTTGCTGGAGTGACTTAAAATTTAAAACCTTTCAATTATTAAACAAATATACAATATTGCAAGTAGGTAAAGTTAGGAACTTTTTGAAAAGAGGAAAAGTAAGCTATTATCACTCAAAACACATTTTAAATTGCTCAAAATCTACAAGGAATAAGAATGTTTTAATGACCCATTTAAAATTAAACGAAGGATAAGAGAGGCTAATCTATTTTAAGGATATAATTCCACAATTAGAATAATCCCAAATAAGAAGGAACACAAAAAGGTCCTCTTCATGCCTGAATTGCAACAATATTTTACTGGGCGTGCAACCATATCAGGATGTAAGTCCAGACTGTTCAGATATCGTCTGAGCTCTGTGAGTGCAGCATTTTTCTGAATGAAGCAGAGAGTGTTTGAGGACCGGGACATCCGTAGGGATACCAAGGTGCTTGTTTATAAAGCTATTGTCCTCCCAACTCTGTTATACGCCTGCGAGACGTGGACAGTCTACAGGCGTCACATGCAGCTCCTGGAACTATTCCATCAACACTGCCTCCGGAAAATCCTGCAAATCTCTTGGGAAGACAGGGGGACAAACGTCAGCGTGCTGGAAGGAACAAAGACCACCAGCATTGAAGCGATAGTCCTCCGCCATCAGCTCCGCTGGGCCGGCCACGTTGTCCGGATGCCCGACCACCGTCTCCCAAAGCAGTTGTTGTATTCTGAACTAAAGAACGGAAAACAGAATGTTGGTGGGCAAGAAAAGAGATGTAAAGATGGGCTCAAAGCCAACTTTTAAAACTCTGGCATAGACACTGAGAACTGGGAAGCCCTGGCCCTTGAGTGCTCCAGCTGGAGGTCAGCTGTGACCAGCAGTGCTGCAGAATTTGAAGAAGCACGAATGGACGGTGAAAGAGAGAAACGTATCAAGAGGAAGGCGCATCAAGCCAACCCCGACCGGGACCGCCTTCCACCTGGAAACTGATGCCCTCACTGCGGGAGAAGATGCAGATCAAGAATAGGGCTCCACTGCCACCTACGGATCCACCCCCAGGATACCATTCTTGAAGGACCATCATCCTTGGACTACAAGGGATCGCCGAAGTAAGTAAGTAACTTTAAAAACATAAGTGTGCTTGTTGTAGTTGTGTTTTTTCAAGTCATTTCCCAAATCATGGAAATCCTAAAGTAAACTCATTATGGAGTTTTCTTGGTATGATTTGTTCAGAAAGGTTTTTGACTGTGTTCTTCTGAGACTGACTTGCCAAGATCACTCAATGGCTTTCCATGGCCAAGTGGATACCTGAACCAATGCTCAAACCACTACACCAAGCTGTATACCATACTCCAACGTATTTTGCATATCCATTACTTCTCACATTCTCTTACTCCACTTGTATTTCTGTCTACAGAGCCTTCATTCCATGTATCTAATGAAGTGAACTGTGTTCATAAAATGTAGGCTGGAAACTGCTTTGTCCCAATTTTAGTGTCAATTTTAGTGCATTTACTAGAAGAAAAGAATAGGTTCTTTAGTATGACATGAATTTCAAGAGAGGGAGACATTAAGGACAAGAAGGCAAGGGAATAACAAGAAGGAAAAGGGAGATGAGGGGTTGAATTATGAAAAGGGATGAATAACAATAAATGCAGCCATGCATACTCAGGCTTTACTTCAGGCTCAGTTCTCATATTTGGCAAACTTGTCTCAGAACTAGGAAATTATGTTACTGAATGCTCTACACATCTGTGGTTCTCAACCTGTGGGTCCCCAGATGTTTTGGCCTTCAACTTCCAGAAATTCTAACAGCTGGTAAAATGCTGGGATGTCTGGGAGTTGTGGGCCAAAACACCTGGGGACCCACAGGTTGAGAACCACTGCTCTATAAAAACACATCTTCCCTATAGAACACTGGCATACATGGAGAAGCAAACTACCATGTGTTGTTGTGTGCCTTGAAGTCATTTCCAACTCATGCTGAACCTAAAGTCATCCCATAGCAGGGTTTTTTCTGGAGCTGAGAGTATGTGATTTGGCTAAGGTCACCCCAGTGGGTTTCCAAAGCAAAGCGGAGAATCAAACTCTGGTCTCCAGAGTGGTAGTGTTCATGACAAACAGCAGTATCTGATATATTACTGCATTGTAAGCTTTAATTCTTCATTGTAACCCAAAATTATGCTAGGAATGTTGGGGCTTTGGGAGGAATGAACCCCCTTTTTATCATTGTCCCAGCCCACATTATGAGTTCCCTCTCTAGTGGCCGTTCACCCTCATCTCTTGATTTAATTAAATTTTTCTTCATCTGTAAACTGGAGAAGTGCTGCACATGAATAACAAATGCAGTGCAAATTTAATATCAATCAATCCATGAAGGTATATCATCCAGTACTGGCACGTTGATCTACTGGCCCCTAATCAAACTTTAAAAGTGCCTGTTACTGATTCTGCAAAATTCAACGATAAAGCAATCGTAACATAAAGACTGACGTACAAAATAACTCCTGAGGTTCTTGTTCCCTTTGGAAACCCTTCTTATGAAAACAGAATGCACAAGTACTGAAATTTGTTAGAAGGTAGTAGCAACAATGCAATGGAACACAATCAGAAAAATGATTAAGAACATGTGAAATTTGGTGAAAAATTCACTGTGGCTTCTGAACACACTTGGTTTTTGCACATACATGCGTAATTTCAAAGCTTTGGCTGAATCTGGAACCCAATAAAAATTATTTAATGTGTGGTTAGAAACAAACAAGAGATTGCTCTTCCCTCGGGCTCCACCTCCACAACTTGAGAACTGCACGGTCACTAATAGTCAATTACGGTAAACTTTTGGTTTTGTTTATTTGTTCAGTTGCTTCCGGCTCTCCGTGATTTCGTGGACCAGCCCATGCCAGAGCTCCCTGTCGGCCGTGGCCACCCCCAGCTCCTTCAGAGTCAAGCCAGTCACTTCAAGGATACCATCCATCCATCTTGCTCTTGGTCGGCCCCTCTTCCTTTTTCCTTCCATTTTCCCCAGCATCATTGTCTTCTAAGCTTTCCTGTCTTCTCATTATGTGGCCAAATTATTAACTAACAAATTACAAACTAAAATAGGCCAATGCTGGTTGAAATAATGCCTGTCCCAGAACCCAAAAGGAAAACCAAATAGACCAGTGATGACCAACCTATGACACGAGTGTCAGTACTGACACGCGTAGCCATTTCTACTGACCCACACTGCTGGATATTATTTATTTATTTAATGCCATTTTAAAAAATAGATAGGAAAGAAAGTAACTTATTCCATAGAGAGAAACCCAGGCTGCAGTAAGCCTCCATAGAATCAATTCCGCGCATGCGTGGAAAGGGGCCTCTTCCCTACTGCTCGCAAAAGCAGGCCGAAGCCCTGCCCACTCTTCATTCAAGTAAAAGCCCTGGGCGGGAAAGGCCATGCCTCTTCCCTGTATCTCCATTCCCATTGGCCTCCTGGAAAGAAGGCTCCGCCCATTTCAAACGTTCCTGGGTCCACCTCTTCAGCCGCGCGCGGTTCCTTTCTTCCTGGTTACATGAGTTTTCTCTTTTTGCAAAGGAAATAAACCAATTGCAAAATAATATTGGTTTATTTCATTATTAAGTAAATGAATATTATTTTGCATTGTTTCCTAAATATTAAGGAGTTACATATTTAAATTAAATTAAATGATAAATAATATTACTTTTCTATATTACTCAAATATTTCAGAATGTCTTAAATGAAATGGTAAATTGAATTTTTATTTGACATTTAATTTAATGCATTTTAATTTAATGCATTTTTAATATTTTTAATATATGCCTTAAATATATATATGCCTTAAATGAAATGGTAAATTAAATATCAAAATATTATTTTGCAATGTTACTTTATTATTATTGCATTATTATTATTAGAAATACATTAAACAGCATATTAAATGCTAGAAATACATTTACATTAAATTAAAAATAAATATTTTGTTGGGTTTTTAAAATTATATTTTTATTAAACACTCCAAAAAGGATATTATCTACATAAAGAGAGGTAGAACAACATGATAAGAGAGAAAGTGGGAATTACAATTATATATTTTTTGTTATTTAAACTAAATATTGCGAAATTATGGTTTTTTTTCTTGAAGTGACACACCACCTGAATTATGCTCAGTTTTTTGGCAAATTTTGACACACCGTGCTCAAAAGGTTGCCCATCACTGAAATAGACAATAGATTTGGGAGGCTTTGTCTTTTGCAAAATTTCCTTTTTATATTACTACAACTTAACTGGTAGAGGAGCAAGAATTCCAGAAACATAGCCTTGGTTTTAGCACAATAATAATGCTTGCTCTCCACATTCTCTTTCCACCATTAGGTTAAGATTTTTTTTTTATTGGACAGGACTTTTATTTTTAATCATATAGCAAAACTATGTTTGGAATTAGTACATTATTCTTATCTTGTAAATTTTTTAATCCTTTTAAATGCATTTTAAACTGTATGCTTTTTATAGAACTTGAGTTTATTTTTAAAATATGTTTATAATATTACATTTTAACTAAGCTTTCTTATACACTACTTGTCCCCTGCCACCTCAGGTCTTATGGCAGGAGACAAGTTGAGCATATGATGAATACATTTTTTTAAAAAAACAAGTATAAATGAGACCTACTTTTCCAAGCAAAATTATAGAGATGACATCTCCAGATAATGTATACTTTTTATCTTTCATCACAGATATTCTAACCATAGTTCCTTGATGCATGCAGTTTATTCTTTTTTTTAGTAAACTTTTATTGAGTTATCATATACATAAAAAAAAGGAAGTAAGATAAATGATTTACAAGGAAAGTGGGGAAACATTTGATTATGCATGCAGTTTATTCAATATCAGTCATAACACTTACCTGCTAAAACTCCAGCAATGTAGACAAATCCAATCCTTGCAGCACCATGTACCATTTCAAGGGGGACTCCAACTAGAAGTTGAAGAACTACGTTGAGTCCAAGGTGCTCTATCCTGGGGCAAAGGGGAAAAATTCCCATTAGTTAGTTCAGCTTACCTTTGCGGACAGATAAATGCAAAGCTTTGCATGTGGAGCCCCAACTAGCTACCACACGGCTCTTTGCCATGGATTTTTAAAAGTTTAATTCTATAAAACTCCAATATCCTATATACTCATATATAAGTCTAGAGTTTTTTTGTTTAAAATCAACCCCCAAAATGTGGGCAATTTATTTACGGGTAATGTGAGTCAGTCTTATCAAAAAGAAAACATTCCCTTCTGTGAGTAGAGTGCCTTGGTGGGGAAATGACAGTGGCTAGAGGGGCTCATCCCAAGGAGGGATTGGTGCCTTCCTTTCTCTGATGATGACCCTTAACGTATCTACAGGTTATATCAAAATCCACAATTTTGGCCTCAAAACCTGTCCTTGACTTATACATGAGGTTGACTTCTACATGGGTATATAGATAGTTGCTTTTATAGTTGAAAAGGGTGTGTGTGTGCACGCACACACACACACACACACATATATATATAGAGAGATTTATGTTTAAGAATCCTTGTAACCATGTTGAACAGAAAACATGATACAGAGTACAAAAATGAAAAATATGGGCTTCCTGGCAGGAACCCAGAACTGCTTTTAAAGTAGTGGGGTGGGAGGGCATCTCCAGAAGGTAGGGCGTTATTAATTTTAATTACAGTTATGTTTTGATAAAACAATGAAAACAGAACACACTGCGTTAAACAATAATAATAAACTGAAGCTGTTGAAGATACGAGTCCTATAAAAATGAAGTCAACATGACAATACAAAGTTGAAGAATAAATAAATAAAATTAATATTGCAAGCAAAGCAAAACATATTTAAGACCAAAGTTACCTTTAAGGTCCCAAAGCCAATTTGTTCCTCCACTACACTCCAATAAAAGTAAAAGCTGTAGAGATATATTGGAAGATAAAAGATCACACTAATAATATTCTTCAAAGAAATTGAAATTTCTTTGTATCTGCCAAGCTTCAGGTATAGATAATATGATACAAGTCCTGAAATTAGGGTGTATAGTATGATAGTCACGTTTCTTGATAATAACAAATTATTTAGGCTGCTGAGAGCAAAAAAAAAAGATTTTAGAGTTCCAAAAGACTATCTTAACTGGGAGAATGAGCATTCAGATTGTAAACAAAATGCAATGAAATCAAGTGTAAAGGGAAGCACATTGGGGCAAAAAAAATTCTTAACTTCACATTTCGATAGAGCATGAATTGGCATTAATTGAACAAAGGGTCTAGGGATTATGGTTGATATCCCTACAGTAAAAAAAAATATTAAAGTTTGGCATTATGACAAAAGAAGGAATCATTGCCAATAACATGCCGCCCTTGTACATATCTATGGTATGATCACATCTGGAATACTGTGTGCATTTCTGGTTACTGCACTTATTAAAGATGTTGTAGGGATGGAAAAGGTGCATAAAGGGGCAATCAAATGGGCTGGAGCAACAAGCCTTTGAGGACAGATTGCAATGTTTGGAGCTTAGCAAGTGTTCAGTGCAATTTGGAATATCAGACAGCAAAGACAGAATTATCAGTGCCCGGAAGTATAGAACAATGGCCTCTCAGCCAAGTTGAAGTGGACTGTTCTTCCTTTTGATTGATGCATTTTAATTGTGTTTTATTTCTTTGGCATTTGTACAGAGTACAGTAATATCCATGAAACTGTGGACCCCATACCCATGCCTGGGAAAAATGTTTTTTCTAGAAATTTACTAGGGCCTCCAGATGCTACTCCCAGAATTAGCACAGAGTCACCCTGAAGGACCTAAATAATTCCTAGAGAAGATAGTTCCCTAGGAATTTCTAGGTCCTCCAAGGTGACTCTATGATATGCTGAGAATGAAAGTCAGGTAATTTAATGATATTCAGTCATATTCCCAGTTTCAGGTCACTGGTCTGACCAGGAATATATTTCCTGTGGATATGGGGGTGTTATTGTATGTTTGACTTGACTGTACTTAGTTGTCTTGGATACTATTTTTGTCAGAAAAGACACAACAAGCTTATACATAAAATAAAGCAAAAAGCATGGCCAGAAACACAACAACACTGAATTTGAGGAGCAAATAAAGGATTGTTACACAAGTCAGAAATTAAGAAGTTAAGTCAACTAAATCATTGTCTAAAGGGAGCAAAGCGCGGAGGAGGAGAATAGTGTGAAGTGGCTAAATAGATTTTTTTTTCACCACAGCAGATCCTGGAGAGATACTGAACCATTTTGTTCAAGAAGGGTACTTAAGCAGATTTCTCAAACAGAAGCTACAAAGACTGAAGTCTTAGGAATAATTAACAAATTACAAACCATCAGAGCCAGGTGCCATTTACCAAAGTGTTCCTAAAGACCTCACCTGGGGAAGTGCTGAGCTTTTTACAGAAACAGGCAAGAACAACTGGAAGGCTGCCTGCGCTTGCTTCTTTAAAGGGAAGAATCCAGGAAATTATAGACTTCTCTGCCTAACCCCGATTCCAGAAAATTAGTAGGCAGCATCATTATAATTGGAATTACAGAGAAGGCAAAATGCTCACAATCTTTGGCTCTTTTAGATCGGATGCACACTTTAAACACAGAAATATTTGCAAACCTCTTTAAAGTTATGAATTGGAACAGTTGATGCAAACAGATCAATAAATAAGATTTATGTATTGCCACTGAATCAAGATAATAGTGCACTTTTATGAAAAAGTGGAGGAAAATGAGATCTTAACTGTGTATCAAGTAAGATATTGATTTGGATTTGTGCCAGCGTTCCAAGAAGACAAATTTCTGCAGACTAAAGCTGAAATCTTGTATTCATCTTCCTATTGAACTCAAGAAAACTTATTTTTAAGTAGGCACACCTAAGACTGTGTGGGTTTGTTATCAATGGTTCTGGTTTTATATGGATTTTTATTATGTGATATTAAATGTTTTAACTGATATGTATGTATGTTGTGGCGTCTAATTGTTGCCAATCTGTATGCTGCCCTGAGTCACCTTCCAGCTGAAAAGAGTGGGATAAAAATAAATAAATTAATTAATTAAATTGGGTCAAATGAGAAAGAAAATGGCAAATAAAAAAAGTAAAGGGATGGATATAAAGGCAAAAATGTAACTTTACACATGCATTCACAAAAAGTTGAACTACTCTTTGCTCTGAAAGTTGAATATTTCTTATCCAAAATGATTGAAATCAGAAGTGTTTTAGATTTTTGGGAAAATTGATTTTGCAATACCTGTATTTGCATATGCATACACAAACATAATAAGACATCATATTTCCCACATATACTTTATACTGAATGTAGTTTTATATTTAATCTTTTTAATAATGTTGTGCATGAAACACAGTTGATGTACATTGAACCATCAGCAAGCAATGGTGGGACTATCTTATCTACCCATATGAACAATTTTGGAGCATTTGAGAATTTTGGATAAGGAATTGTCAACCTTTAGCAGGTTTATGGCACATAACTTCCTGAAAACATTGAGTCAGTATATACCATTAGTGAAAATAGGGAAAAAACCTGCTAATCTGAGCATTATCAAGGAAGGGGATTAAAACAGAATTGCCAGTATTATAACATTTGGCACATCTGGATTACAAATCAGAATTTCAATTGCTCAAAGAGTATAAAAAAGAGCAAATGAAAAGCAAACACAGCATTGGGGATCCTTTTCAAAGAGAGCTAAAGCATTTACAGTTGGGGCTGGGGGTGAAGACCATTTGTCCTGAAATGCCATGTATACTTTGTTATTGTCAACTGCCATCAAGTCAATTTTGACTTAAAGTAAGCCTGTGAATGAGAGACCCCCCCCCCCCAAAGTCACTTTATCATCCATAGCCCTCTCAGGTCTTGCAGACTTGGGGCATTTGTGGCTTCCTTGATTGAACCTGTCCATCTGGATTGTGCTCTCCTCTTCTCCTGTGTTACCAAACTGGAGAAATGTGCCACTGCGCTCAGTTCTTAGCAGTGGTACATTGGAGCATGCTTTCAGTGAGGAAATGATTTAAAGCAGAGATGAGCAACTCATAATCCTCCAGAAACAAAACTGCAGCACTTTGAATTCTCCACCATGGCCTGTGGTTGATAAGGCTACTGGGACTTACATTTCAATGGTGGGAGGAGGGGGGGGGGCGTCTTCTCCATCCTATTCTAATGCAATAATTTGCAAATTTTACAAAAAAATGTAGCTGAACATATTTAAGTACACAATCACTATGTATACAGGTAATCAGTCTTTTCTTACTTCTCTTTTATGGTAATGGAAAACTTTGCTAGAAAATTATGCAACATCTCTCATTAGGAATATGCAGAGTGTTTTAATGTGACTTATAATGCAATGCTTACACAAAAGCTAGGACTGAGTCTTACTACTCCCAGATCAATTGTTTGGGATTCACTATTTAATTCTAGGGATAAATCTTCTTTAATACATAAAATAATCAATCTTTTACCACTATCAGATAACAGCTTCAGCATCGGCAGTCTGGGTTATTTCCTTATGACTGCCTATTTTTTCCCTCTAACAATAAGAGGAAAAGAATTACAATAAAAAATATCTAGGAATCTGTTTAGAATTGCAGTAAAAAGTTTGGGAGAGACAGAAACCTACTTTATATTATATCAAATGAAACAGAGTTAGATGAAGGGCAGTACACAGCAACAGTCATGGGAAGGTATCCAAGCTTTTCTAACAAAGAATTTAACTCTCTTGAAATAATGACCCATGCGAAACAATGATTTATTTCAGAAGAGAAAGCCTCAAAGGTTTTATTTATAAGTGCGTTTGATGGAAGCCTGTTCTTTAAAAAATGACCCAAGAAGCTTTCTATTCAGTCAAACCGCTACCAGAAGCAGAAGCATCAGAGTCCCATAGTCAATCAGCACCCATAAAACATAATTAGCTTTCTCATGCTCCAAATGTGTCATTCTTCAGATGACAATATAATTGATTTATCAAGGTTTCACCTTCTCCGTAACCAAAGAAAATGGGTCTTAGAATCAATAAAGTCATTAGTTATGGCAACAACACAAATGGGTGGACCCCATAGACAATTAACGTCCACTTGGCTTTTAAAACTCAAAAGCCCCAAATTTATAGCTCTGGCTTCTTGTAAAGCTTTTCTCCATCATGACTGAGGCACAAACAGCACACATTTTGGGAGGCTCTTAAGAAGCCCAGCTGGCTACCCTTAACAAGGGAGCCTCCTCCTCCTCCTCCAATAACTCCTGGCTGTCAAATATTAGCCCATTAAAATGAAGAAGAAGATGAGCACAGTAAATTAAGAGCTTCAAATTAACATATTAAAGCCACAGCAGGAAGTATGCAACAATAGGCTTCACCTTTGAATTAGTTTGGCCTTTGAGAGAGAAGGGTGAAAGAGGGGGGAATAATGGTCTCACCATTTGAAAAAAAGATTATGACTTTATTTGATTCTCCTGATGTGGGTTGTAAAACTGGCTATAAATGGTTGTATATTGCCTAACTGTGATGTGTATTTCATCATATTAGAGAGAGAAATCAGCAAAGACTGCTTCTCAATATGTGGTGCAGCTTTGATGATTTGCACATCCAAAACATTTAGAATTGCCTGCAAAATATAATAAGCTTACACCAGCAAAGTCTCTTAATATTTACAGATGGGAGGAACAGGGTATCGTATCTTCCCCCAGAGTTTCCCTGGGAAACCGGCCAAGGGTGTGAAAGAAATTTGATAATTAAAAGGTTCAGCACATTTTTCAAGCAACACAACAGGATAATGGCAACAAGATACCTGTCAAGGCAAAGGTTAGTGTTATGTAGCTAAAGAAAGCAGGCTACAAGCACTTTGTTTTCAGAGGTTGCAAGAGGCATCCACATGGACCAGGTCAATCTTTTTCTTCTAAATACATTCCAGAGCATTCCACCCAACTAGATGTAATATCAAATTAATTGCATGTAAGTGATGGATGTCCACAGGCTATTTTATAAAGTAAATAGTAGTGTTGGGGAGGGGAGGGGTCTGAAGGAAAGCAGAAAGGGAACTATATTGTCAAAGAAAAATCTTTACTGCCCTGTTCCCAATATAAAATTTCCCTCCCCATAGCTGCCATTGCATACAAAGGGAGGATCTCATTAGAAAACAAACAAAAGCTGCAAGATTCCTACAGATCTATAAGGAAAGCATAGTCATCACTACAAAGTCAAGAATGAAAGCTTGCTTTTCAATAGACAGATTTGTCACCTCAGCGTGTGCTTTTGATGTCCTACACTGACTTTCAAGTTATATAAACTAGCTCACACAAAGTATTATTTTATCTAAACATCTAAAACCATTTTATAATAATAATAATAATAATAATAATAATAATAATAATAATAATAATAATAATTTTTATTTATTTATAGACTGCCCTATCTCCCTAAGCGATTCAAGGCGGTTCGCAACAAATATGGCAAACATTCAGTGCTAAAAGAAAACCATACAAACAGCTTATATCAGGACAAGACACATTAGACATTACAAAACAACATTAACTATAACTTAATAATCAAAATAGCGAGAAATAAAAATAAGAAATAAAATAAAAATAAAATTAAAACATCATATAATACAAAAAAAGTATTTTATTTATTGTATCAGGAGTGAACCAAGGTTACAGTTGTGATGTATTTGAGAAAAGACTTAGTTTAAAAGCTTGGCATTATACTAAATGTGCTTTGACCACTAGCTGGCCAATGGAGTGCCTCTGGTGTTGCTATAAGGAGGTCCTTCACTGTGCGTGTGGCAGGGCTCAAGTTGCATTGTAATAGGTGGACTGTGGTTTGTTCTTTTCCTGAAAAAACCTGACAAAACACACTAAAAATAAAATATAAAACCGAAAATGGACCAAATAGTAGTACTCTTATTAGATGGAGAAATCTGGAAGGGCAAGAGGACAGTTCCAAGGACTTTGTGGTACAGTAAACAACTACACCATACTAAACATGTAATCAGATTGAGTGTTCAGTTAAATAAGTTATGGGGAGACATTTAATTAGTGTATGGAAAAAATTACTTGGTTCAGCTAGAATTTCCAGTATCATTCAACCTGTGTTGTCAGAAAACTTAGCATTGTAAAGCATTTTTTGTTATCTTAGGGCCCAAATTCTGCCTTAGAAAACTGACATAGTATTTGCAAAAATGATAAAATTTTATTAGATAACATATAACAACTGGACAAACCCCCAACCTGGTGGAGGCACAAGAAACTCAAATAATTCTGGGTTTGATATGGATTGTATTAAAAGTAACCAACAACTAAGACTCCTGTACAGGAAATTACAAAGATCGAAGTCTGGTGTGGATCTTGCTAACCTTCGGAATCCTAAGTGCTACCTTCAACATTTTATCCAACTTAAGCAGCACTCATTAGTAGAATTTAAGTGGAATCAACTTCTAAATGCACCTGTAACAAATAATTTGCAGCAGTTTTTGGCATCAGGTCAATGGACTGAGCAATTCAAGTACAACATTTGCCACATCAATCTCCATCAAACTGGTATAGTTATTTTTCCAACCTCTTTCAGACTGATGAGTTAGAAACCCAAAACTCAGCAATAGATTCATCAACTGGTCTCCTGTTTCAGTACAGAAAATTTCAGACCTGATAGTTGGTGTAACAAACAGAAAAGCGGCTGGATCGGATTCAATTATTCCAGAGATTTTGAAATCAGATCCTGAGTGTGGACCCTCCTCTTGGCGGCAGTGTTCACCATCATTAACAACATGGGCATCCTACCAAATAGTTAGCAATTTGCCATTATAGTACCAGTCTACAAAAAGGGTGATCCTACCAGTCCTTCCAATTACTGGCCAATTAGCCTTCTATCAGTAATTGGAAAGCTTTACGCAAAATTCCTATTAGCTAAGTTGCAAACCTGGCTGGACCATAATAAAATCATTGGCCTTGAGCAAGCTGGATTCCATAAGGATAAATCAACCTTAGTACTTTCGCATTCAGCAATAATTGGACAAAATGAAACAACTATTGTATAGTCCAGGCCACTGTTCAATAGGAAACGTTTTCTTGGCCATGGTAGACTTTCTTAGCAGTAGTGGCAAATAGCAATTCTCTATGACTGCGGGATACTCTTTTAATCTATCACAATTCAGAACCAAATTGGGTGATGCTGCCTGGACTCTTTTCTCGCTTCAAAGGAGAATCAGGACAGGTGTCAACAGTAGGCCTGCCAGTTGATTGAGGCTTGGAAGCAGCCTGAGGATACCAAATACTGGCACCGGGATTATATTCACCCCTGTCCTTTCCCGCTCCCCTCCACTTCACACTAGGAGGAATTTGGTGGTTCTTCAGCACTCACCCTGCATGCATGAATATGTATGTGAGGTACCTCCAGGCCTGAGCACGGAGCTGAGGATGATATAACAATGAGTTCTTCAGATATAAGGGGTGGGTGACTTGCAACACAAACCTGTCCAGGACCACTCCATTGTAAAGAAAGAAGGCAACCTAGGAAAGAAGAGAAATTCCACAATTAGCCACAATTAATTCAGTTATAGGCATCTGAAAATATATATTTATGCATTTAAGGTGATGTAAAAGACTTAATCAGAAGCAGATGTGACTAAAGGCTTGGTCACACCTAGACATTCAAAGCTTCACTGTACTAGCAGAGAAAGGAGTTGTATTACTTCCTGATTCTTTGATGATGATGATGATGATGATGATGATACAGCTGTAGCCATGAATCAACAACCATTAATTAAGTATCAGCATGAAAAGCAGTTCATGTGGACATACAAAGGTCAAAGACTGTTCTGTATGATCCGTGATTAGCAATGGTTTGCAATCCTGTAAGCAGTGGTTCTCAACCTGTGGGTCTCCAGGTATTTTGGCCTACAACTCCCAGAAATCCCAGCCAGTTTACCAGCTTTTAGGATTTCTGGGAGTTGAAGGCCAAAACATCTGGGGACTCACAGGTTGAGAACCACTGCTCCCACATGAATCCATACAGAAATAGTCCTCTTTTAAAACATCCATACAGTTTACATTGACATCAAATGCAAGCAAGCACATACAAATCAATGGGACTTGTGAGTTTCAACTAAATGTCATTGTACTGCATTTCATACAATTCAATTGCAACCAATGTTTTCTCAACCAACGCAACATGTTTCCACATAGGAGTTCTGTAATTGTTTGAACAGATTTATAATACCAAATGAGGGTTTTTTGTTTGTTTTTGCTAAAATAGGAATGCCAATGGTACTGCCATCATAACTGACTAGTAGCTATACTGACCAGGGTTACAGTTTTGCAAACCTGGAGAAATATGTGTCCTTATCTGAGCTAAAAGATACAAACACACATTGTTTAACTCTCTTTCTTCCAGGTATTCTCACCTGCCAGTAGAGTTCTACAGAAGGTGAAGCTTCCAAGCCTTCTGTGGAATTACATAGGGCATGAATTACACAAGAAAGGTCACTGTAATCAAGGGATGGATGCAGCCAAGTCATCATCCTTTATCATACCCAATAAAATGTTCCCCCAGACCCAGTTGTAACCTGACCATCTCTTGACAGATTGCAGATCTTTTCCAAAAAAGTGATTCCAGGTCAACAGGCAAACATCTCTTCCCTGTATCTTGTCCTCCCTAAAGGTATTTACCTCTACAATGGTAATGGCAATCATGAACCAAGGTGGAGGGCAGCAGGTGTAGCTGTCATAGTACCACTTCCGGTCTATCTCACGTGGCAAAGTTTCATATGCTACGTGCCGAATGAGCCGCTGTGAAAGGCTAAGTCCTGTCTCCTCCAGCAGTGCCTTGCTGCACAGCCTCCTGTTCCCTTGCAAAATGGCTTGGCGAAAGCTGTTGGACCTTTTGTTACTCATCTGAGGAAAACAAGAAAAGGAAAGCAAAAAATAAAATACAAACTTAGCAATGACACCAAGCATCTCATTATCTCTGATATAGAAAAATAATTTGATACAATAACAGGATTTGATATCTTATTCTAATTTGAAAATACAAAATGGTGACTCTCAAATTTTATTATGAAATGCAGGCAATTTAGTAAGTTATTTTGTGGTGGAATGTGATGTTGTTGAAAAAATGATGTTTACCATGTAAGATAAAGAGAGATGCTGAATTTAGTGCAATAGTCTTCATAGTCAAAAAATCTAAAGGAAAAGGTTCCTTACAGTGAGAGTTCTTACACACACACATACGCACACACGATTAAATCCAAAATGGCTATTAAAATAGTCTGTGCTAAGTTTTATAGCTTATTTGGAATGCAGAATGATTGCAAATAAATTCTTGACTTAACTGGAGATAGCTTTTTTACTTTCATATCTTTTGATTTTTGCTTGACTATCCAAAAGTTGCTCATCCCTTATTTACACTATCATTTCACATTTCACATGATTCTACATTGTTACACAAACTAACAACGGGTTGCATTGTGGCTACAGATGCATACTTAATTATGGATGCTTAATTATATTCTCTATACCAGTGTTTCGTAAAGTGAAACTTTTTTGGTTTTAGAAGGGGGGATGGATTAGACTGTTGCCAGAGAAAGGGAAAAAGTGATGTGTACCGCATGAAGGAAGAGGAGGAATTGGGGTGCTGGTTGAGAAGGGAACAGTGTGCTTGGATTTAGGAAGAGGAGGAATTTGGGTGTCTTTATATATCCATTGTATATAACAATATATCAGGAGTCACATAAATATTTCTAAGGTGGAAAGGAGTTACAAGTGGAAAAGGTTTAAGAAGCCTTGTTCTATACCACTTGTGAAAGGTACAAGAATACCATTTCCCCCCAGTATTAGAAATGCCTCAAGCAAAGGACATTAATCTGTTATTGAGCTTTGTCAATAGATTCTCCAGGGTTAAGTTGCTGACAACAAGCTGGTGGACATGGATATTGAATCCAACATAATCACAACAATGTGTTGTTTTGGCATGTGCTCTTCACTGTTCATACATTACCGCCTAATAAAGTATGGCAAGTATATGTGATGCTCCAGCTACAAGCACACTATAAACATTCTTGAGCAATTGCCAAAACTAATTCTGGGAGCCCTTTGCTCCCAACTTTCTGCTGACACCTGCTCATAGAAGGCTGCCAGGGCCTTATTCAGTGTATGGCATAAAGCATGACAGCATTAGCATCCCAGAGCTGTTGTTGTTTTTGGACCACTTTCTTTTTGGCACACAACCTCATGATTTCAAAGACTGAACCTTCTGCTTTCAGATGTACAATCCTTATTGAGTAATTGCTGCAAGCAGAGCCAAGTTGTTTAAACACATACTGATAGTTGCTGTAAGCAACTCTGAAGCAATCACACTCATGAATAAAGATTCACAGCCTCCAAGAAGCAGCTGATGTGTGGCCTTACATCATATATTTTTGCTTATCAATATATTTTAAAACTCCAACTAGGGTGGTCCTGCCATTCACCTTATCATTTCTCTCACCCTTGCTTATTAGGTTATGTTGGAGTGGTGGGTATTCTATGTAGCAAACCATCACCCAGTGCTTGATTGGACAGTATATCTTTCATCACACCCCTTTTGAAAAGGGAAAATAGAACATGGAACCACTTCCCTTTGATGGGACAGTAGAGCAGACAAGGAAGAGGGTGGTTCTGGTATCCACCTTAACATCTCTTCCTTCCTAAACAGAAAGGGAAATCTTTTCTTCTTCGTCTCCTCAAAACATTTTCCTTAAAAACAATGTATAAAGGCAGCCAAGTAGTAGTAGTAGTAGTAGTAGTAAACTTTATTACGGTCGATGACCAGATTAAAACGGGGGGCAGCCAAGTAGCATAATGCATGACACCAGTTGTTTCCCTGGGAAATGACGTGATTGTTGTCCTAATAGTAGTTTCTTAGAAAGCATTAAATAAATACATAAAGTTTAAAAATAGAAGAAAAGAAATAGTAGCAATAAAATTAAGCCCTTTTCTATCCCCACAAACACTAAAACCAGCAAAAGCAGGAGACAGGGAGAAAATTACAAAGGAACCATCTGTCAGTACAACAAACTGACAGTGATTTTGGAACATGCAGGGCAGTGTGGCATACCATGCCCAGGTGTGCCCCATAGAACTAGCAGAGCTTTGGGTTTTTTTTTTCCAGAACCTTAAGTCTACAGAGCAGACCCAAATTCAAAATGGCATCTTGAGGTGGAAGCAAGTATGCTCAATAAACAAAATGTTTGCATGTATTCTTCAGATAGTTGGTAAACAGAGGGCTGCTTCAACTGGAAGGCTCCTAGCACTACCTGTCAAAAGCCACTTTGGAGCTATTCCATCTTTTCTTTCTTAATGGCGTTTATGTTGTGAGGAAAAAAAGATTAAGCAAGTGTGGAGGGGCCGTGAGAAGGTTAGAAATGGGAGGTGATAACATCTGGAAGCCCTGCAAAATTTCCATGATGAATAAAACAGGTCAATTGCATAATAAAATCCCTTTCTGGAAGCAGCCCAGATAAAACATGTACATGAATTGTTGTCCAAAAATTAATTTTTCTGAGCTATGCTAATGACGGCATTACTTAATTTAAAACCCAGACTGGCAAATGTTTGCCGGGATTTGATGAAATAACACAGCAATTAATTGTCAAGTATAACATCCTAAAGCCCAGGATGTGTTGTGATCATTCAAAATGCATAGAGCTGAAAACTAAAAATATCCCCTGACATTTATGAAATACTAGAGTTGGAAGCTGAATGTTCTCCTTATAACAGCCATAGATGTTCTTGGGTACAAAGTAAGAAAAAAGCATACATTTCTGTACTTTGTATGCATGGATTCGTTGTCCTTGGATGTCCTATACCTTAACTCAGTCGTAAAGCAAATAGCAAAATGAATACTGTTATCAAGATATCAGATGAAAACTAGGACTTGGGAGAGCTCTGAAAGGAGTACAAAGATCCTCAGGTATATAAATAATTGAATCCATCCATGTCATACTATTTTCCATTTCTAAGAAAGGGTGTGACAGCTGGACAGCAAAGAAAACTGGCAGGAACAGAATCAACTGATTTGAAATGAAATGTGGTGCCGGGGGAAATTCTACAAGTCTGAGAGCAAATCAAGCCTAAACTCTCCCGAGAAGCAAAGATGACCAAAGTTAAGCTACTGTAGTTTGAACATATCATGACATGACAGTAGAAAGATGGTAATGCTTGGCAAAGTGTACAGCAGTAAGAAAAGAGTGAGGCTGTGTTATAAGCAGATAGATTCAATCTAGATTAAATCCTGAGTTTGTGAAACTTTACAAGATTATTGAAAACAGGGTGTCTCTCATTTATAGCAATGCCATAAGAAGAAGTCAAGGGTAATTACAATAAACAAATGCTGAAAAACAAGACCTGATGGAAATATTTCTGTAGTTGAAAAGTAAAACCCAAAAAGCAACACATTTCTCTTCTCAATACATATAAACACTCCTTTTAGGACTGTATCATATTTGAGCTTGGAAGTAACCACTACCAGTTGGAAATACTGTAATACTGTTATCAACAGCCAGTTATTTTTGAAAGGGTACAACACAGCTACATTTCAAAACAATGTAACGAAGAAGGCCGGAATTACTTTTACTATTTACAGTTACATTCAACTGTTATTCTTAAACTAATATTACATCTATTTACAACACTTTTTGTGCTTTTATGCAATTCTTTTCTTAATCTAAAGGCTTTTTCTTCAAAAACGTAGCAGCAAATAAAGGCAACCTTGCACCAAATACATAAAATTGACCACAGTACACAGTACAATGTAAAAAGCAGCAGCAACAAACTTTTAAAAAAAATTAACTTTCCAATCTATGGTTTTAGACTAAGAGTTGAACACTGCTTTTGTTTGCTTTTAAAGAAGAGAGCAAATAGAATACGAGTTTTTTTTTAAAGGGGAGAGAAACTTCCACCATTTGACTCAGCTTTTTTGAAACCCAATAAAAAGAGTGCTCTTCCTCATCCTGTTCAACAGTGGAACTCTCTTCCCCGGAGTGTGGTGGAGGCTCCTTCTTTGGAGGCATGTAAACAGAGACTGGATGGCCATCTGTTGGGGGTGCTTTGAATGCAATTTTCCTGCCTCTTGGCAGTGGTTGGAGTGGATGGCCCATGAGGTCTATTCCAACTCTCTAATCCTATGGTTCTATGATCCCACCCTGCTGCCCATGCAATGCCCACCAATCAGGGATCAAACAAACAGAACAATCAAATCTGTTACTTTCAAAAGAGTGTTGATACAACAGAGATGATACCCCTGTTACTTATTTACTTACAATTTTATTACAGTCCATAGACCCATCAGTAAAACCAACAGTCATTATCCATTCTCCTATCTCAGGAGAAGTCGGTTGCACAAGATACATCTACATTTATGAGATACCCCTGCTGCTTAGACATGCTAACCTCCTTTTGCAGACCTCTATGATAGATCAACAAATATGCAAAATATTATTCTTAATTACTGCATTTTTAATTCTAATATAAACTTCCCCCATACAGGCATCTCTAAAAACTGGTGTTTCTTTCAATGGTACTGAAAATGTGCATCTTACAATTGATGGTGTCTAACAATAGAAGAAATACAGTATTACGTTTTTTAAAAATATGTAGAATGCGAATTCTTCCCACATCATCCTCCATTGCAGCTGGCTAACCAACGATCTCATCATACGGGGCTAAAATTGGCAGCATATGCCGATCTAGCCTTGGTCACCCATGGAGCTGGCTGGCTCCCATCAGACGTCAACGTGCCAGCTCTGTGGGGGAAGGAGGGTGGAATTGGTGCGCTACCACTGTGGCAGCAACACGAGTGTATCCATCTAACCTATGGGGGAAAGCTGCACACTCCACACATGCTCATGCTTCTCCCC